TGGCAGGGAAGGGGCCGGCCCCGCGCGCCGGGAGGGAGCCTCTGAAGCGACACACACGCCTCCCAGCGCCCGGAGCCGAGCGAGCGAGCCGGGGGGTCTCGCCACCCTAGGGAGCCGGAAGGACTGGGCGCTGGTGGAGCTGAAGGAGGGTTAGCTCGACTGCCAGCCGCTGTCCCGGGCGCACAGAGACCGGGACTTGATTCCAAGTTCCCTCACCTTCCTTTCACACAACCCCTTGGCCCTCCTTCCCCCACTGCGGTGCTCCCGGGGCTTCCCCTCCTGGCTCTTTCCCTCCTCTGCCATCATACCTCAAACTGCCCCAAATCTTGTGTCAGTTCAGTAAATAGAATCCAAGCAACCTTTACTGAACGCCTATTGTGTGTGCTAAGCTCTGGTTGAGAGGGAGAGGTTGGTGAGTTGGGGTGTTTCAGATGGTTCGGTTCTCCTTGTTCATCATCCAAGTTCTCAACAGTTTTTTGTTTGTTTTGTTCCGTTGATTTTGTTTTGTTTGGTTTTTTCTTTCAGGGCCTCCAGAAGGCCTTGATCCCTGCTAGTTCTGTTGAGGAAGAAAAGTAACCTACGAAGACATTCTTGAGCAAACCGAAGGGTGGTGCATGCAGAACACAGGCAAGTTGTAGAAGCTTTGGTAACGTGGCAGGTATGGGGTGCCAAGGAGGAAGCGCAGGTTAGGCACCCGCGCCCCCACCCCTGAAGGGTCTTCCCAGGAAAGCAATCCTTGAGCTGAATCTTAACAAAGGTAGGAGACTGGGTGGGGTGACTGTGGCCTGGGGGAGGGGAGATCAGCACCCCAAGAGGGAAGGTGGGTGGGAAGAAGGCTCAGGAGCAAACCTAAGGGAGAGCAAGTTTCAGTCAAAGTGGCCCCGGTTGATACCATTGGAAGACTGTATGAAGTGGGGCAGAGGAAGACTGAATCAGGAAGACAGGAGACCATGGTTAGAAGCTTGGAATTGTTCCTGTGGCGGGGGGCGGGGGTCTGTGGGCTCAGGGAGGGGTGCTTTCTTAGGAAATTCCCCACCACTACACACACACACACACACACACTCCCAACAGTCAGTGGTGGGTTTGAGGAGGCCACAGCCAGCTAGCTGCCCAATTAGAAGGTTCTTGCTGCGCTTAAGCTGTGGGAGGCCAGTCAGAGTAGCAGCAGAGGTGTGGGGGGAGGGGCTCTGCTTGGTGAAATCATTTAGTGATTTTTTAGACTCCGAACCTGGAGAAGTAGCAGGGAGTCCTGTACTCCCAGTTTAAGGTGAGGCTGAGTAAATGTTTGTGGGTATTTGAGTGGTCTGGGGTGAAAAGCAGATGTTTAGGACTGGCAGAGAAAGGAAATAGATCTCTGTTCATAGAAGGGCTAGGGTTTGACAGTGCTTGGCTTGTGGTGGTTATTTTGGCTTATCCTTAGAGAAGATGAGTTATTAAGCAGGTTAGCTGTGCAGAAATAACCAGGCTGGTGGCTTGGAAGAGTCCAGGAGTGAGGTATGGGAAGTAGCAGTCAGGGAGCTAGGAACAGAGTCCGGGGAGTGGAGTTGTGGGCCCAGCATGGAGAGGCTCAACCCAATGGTGTCAAAGGCTGCTCATGAGGGAGGGAAAGTGAAGTGCTCACTCACTGGCCTTCACACTCAGGAGGTGACTGGTGACTGGCAGGGACAATTTGCTATGTGTGTAGGTGGATGAGTAGGGAATGACTAGAGCCAAATTGTTGGGATTTAAGACTGAATGGCTGGTGAGGAAGACATTTCAAAAGCTGGGTAGACAGAAAGTCGAGCTCCTGAACTACAGAGGCAGGGAGGGCCGGGGACTTGGAGCTGGGTGGAATTGGATTCAGGACAGTAATGGTGGTGTAGGTATCAATAGGTTAACTTGGCCTCTGAGTCCTCTCAGAGGTTATGTTCCCAGGGTCTTCTAGCACCACCAGGAAGTTTCTCCTCTGCTGCCTTTTGATGGTATCTAGCTATCTGGGCTTGGGGTCTGGTTCATCTGAGGAGATGGCTCTAGAGATCCCACCAATAACTTGGCTTAAATTTGTGATAAAATACACATAGTAGCACATATACCATTTTATCTGGAGTCCATAGGTCTATGGCATTAGGTACATTTTGTGGAAGACACACACAGTCTCAGCCTTGCTTCTGCAGAAGCTATGATGCTGGGGGACAGCCAGCACCAAGCATGGACTAAGTCTGAAACAGTAAATGAATGTATCACCTTGGGTCTGGAACTATCTACTATCAGACACAGTCGGGGTGACTCAGTTGAACTGGGAGTGTTGGGAGCCTGTGAGGTTTCAGATTAATACTAACTGATCTTGGGGCCCATTAGGAAATTCAGTGTTTAGGAAGGGGAGGTGACATTTCTTTGCTCTTCTGTGTGGCTCAAACTATGCCTAGGACCTGTCCATAGCTGGACTATCCAGGAGGGCAACAAGATAGAAGATGAGGGGGTTGCGGTCAGTGTACAAACCGTGTGGAGAATGGTTGGGTCTGCTGGGGTAGACTGGAGAAGAGCAGACTTAGAGGTGTTTCTGATTGGAAATCTTGAAAGGTCTGCCATAGAATGGAGAGATCAGACAGATATGGGAGTGTTCAGACTTACTTCCCTGAGTTTGGGGGTCACTGCCCTCAGTGTCCTGTATATGCACCCAGATGTTCCATCCTCCAGGCTCACTTTGCTCTGCCCACTACCTCCTCCATTCCCAGGTAGTGTTCCCTAATCCTTTAGTCTACAGAAAGTATTGACTATTTGTGTGACCTCGAACAAGTTATTTAACCTCTGCGAGTGGGTATAAGGGACCCATAAACATTTTTATATTTTTATGAATTGGCTATAGGGACAGAGTGGAGACTGTTGCTACTTTTTAAAATTATTGTTTCTTAGACTCAGAAAAAAAGTGGGATGACCACAGTACCCACTTTTCAGGATGGCGCTTGGCCCCTGTAGGTGTTCATAGGTGGTACACGCTATCAGATCTTATTAATGTCTTAATGTCTGCAAATGTATTTCTCTTGGAGGCTGCGAACTCCATATAGTGATGTCTGTGTATGTCCTCCCTGTCTCTCACATTGACTGGTGTAGTGGATAGTGACAGCTAGTGACTCTTACTCTCTTCCCTGATTTCCATCATCTCACTTCTGACATCCCCTTTGGGAAATGTCTGTCTATTGTCACATATTCGTGGTGGGTTGCCAGTTAAAATACCAATTCCTTTCATCCACCCCTACTCTACTGCCATCAGGTAGACATGTGACTCAGCTGGCACCAGCCATAGACCCCCATCCTCCAGCCACTGTGATTGGTCCAAGGTGTGGGCATAGTACTAGCCAGACTCCTTCTTGTGATG